CTGCCGCGCCTGCCCCTGCCAGCAGCTGCCTTGAGGCTCGAGATCGTGAAGCCCGTGGCGGGCGGACGAGGTGTGAGGTGGCCTCCTCCCTGCAGACCTGGGACGCTGGTGCCACACACCTGGCGGGCTGTGCGTGGTCACGCGTGGCTGTGATATGACAGTGGCATTGTGCTTGTGTGTGTGATTGCTGCGTGTGCGACTGCGGCAGCTTGGTCTCCTGGGAGCTGGGTCCCCAGCGGGCAGAGGACCCCCAGGACGCACCACTGAGGACATGCCGACACCCCGCAGAGCCCTGCCTCACTTTCCTGCCACAGTTAATTGAAGTCATGACAGTCCCCTGGCAGGTGCCACCCCAGGCTCTCTGACCTCACCCTCTCCAAATTGTCACCCCCCAAAAAAGTCCTCAACATGTGTTTACTCACAAGCAACTCGGAGGAGGCAGAGACCTCCTGGCAGGGAGGACACGCTGGGCAGGGACGGGAGGGTTTGGGGGTCCTCAGCCCTAGGTCCTACCAAGTCTCTCCCTCCAGTTCCTGCTGCGCCGCCCCGGGAGGCTCCCGGCTGAGTGCTGGACTTGGTTTTAGCCGAGTGCACAGGCAGAAAACAGTGGAAGGGTGTGGATGGGCGGGGGGGACCCCCGCTGGGTGCTCCAGCCCCATCTGCATATGCTGGCTGCGTCCACACAACACGGACGCGTCTACACAACCCGGCAGCGTGTCTACACAGCCCCAGCCCCGAGTCTCCACGAACTGAAGTACAAGGCACCTCCGACTCACCTGGGTCCGGCTGGGCGAGGAAGCTGCACCTCAGATCCTGCCCAACCGACTGGGAGCCACAACCGAGTGGGGGCGGGGCGGGGCGGGGCGGGGGCGCTCTCCCCTCCCCCTTCCTTTCCCTTCTCCCTCCCCTTTCCTCCTCCTCCCCTGCCTCACCACTCTGGCTGAGCCCCTGCCCTGCCCCCACCAGGGTCCCCTACCCCGTGCTCTGAACCCCACCCCCTACCCCAGGGAGTGGCCCAGGGCGGGGGTGGGTGGGGCTGGAGCCTGGGGGAGGAGCCGGCTGGTCAGCAGGAGTGCATGGTCTCTGGCCCCTCTGAGCCAGGCAGCCCTGGAGACCCATTTCCCTCCATGGAAAGGAGGGATCTGTGGGAGTCCAGCCGCACTCGGAGTCCCAGCACGGCGACGGTGCAGGACACGCACAAACCCCTGCATCTGCTGCCCACATTCCTACCGGCCCAGGCCCTCGCAGGCAAGGCCAAGACCACGCCTTGTTTCACGGCTGCTTGCTAAGGAGGTCTTTATGTTTCCTATTTTTTTTTTTTAGAGATGGGGTCTCGCTATGTTGCCCAGGCTGGTCTCCAACTCCCAACTCTCAGGCACAAGTGATCCTCCCGCCTCGGCCTCCTGAGTGCTGGGACTACAGGTGTGTGCCAAAGGGCCTTACGTTTCTAAAGTGTTGAAAAATATCACAAGACGACTATTTTGAGACATGTGAAAGTGCTATAAAATTCCAGTTTGGGTATCCACAGATACACGTATGGTGGCCACAGCCACGCCCAGTCACACGTGGTCTGTGATGCCTTCCAGTGACAAAGGCAGAACTGAGAAGCCTGATGGGCAAAGCCTGAACCCTGAGGGCGAGTAGCCTGATCCGCCCAAGGTGGGAACCAGCCCCCTTCAGCAAAGCAGCTGCTGCATCCCTGCCCCAGGCCCCAGGCCCCAGGCCACGCGGGAGGGAGAGGCCGAGCCACGGGTACCAAACGCTGTGTTTAATTATGACACTCAAATAGAAGCCAGGCAACACGTACAACGGAAACTGGAGGAAGGAAAGTGCCTCTGACTCCTTGACATTGGCCACACGTCCGACACTGCAGAGAAACCCCCCCGCGGCCCCACGTATGAAATGGCTTAAATTAAGGCGCAGTCCCACGGGCACTAGCAGGTCACCAGGCCCCAGGCCGTCCTAGCGGCAGCCGTGGGGGGCAGTCCATGCGCTTCTGTTCCAGTTCGCCCAGCGCTTTTTAAGGAACACACAGAAAGGAGACATTGACCTTTTGCTTTTTTTGAGGAAAAACCCACCATTTTTCCCTGGAAAGATGGGACCGAAGTCTCTGGTGCTGGTATTTTTCTGAACGGATCCCAGCTTGCCCAGGACGCCTCCGTCTGGACGGCGAGACCGCGCGCAGGGCTGTCCGCGTGGGTGGGGTCCCTGCCTTGTTTGACGCAGACAGAAGCTCCCTTCTGGACTCGGGTCTGGAGGCTTCGAAGGCAGGGAGGGCGGTGCTGGGGTCCTGGCGCCCGTACGGGCGGCCACTGGGACGCTGCCCTGCAGGTGACCACACGAGGTGACGGAGAAGAGCGTCGGGGCCTGGTGGCCGGCTGTGCCCCAGCTGGTCCCACCATGGGCACCTGTGCCGTGGGCGCCAGAGCACCCCGTCGGTGAGGTAGAAGACCCAGGCCAGCTCCAGAACATGCCGGCACATTCCGGGGGCCCTTGCTGCTGAGATGAAAAGCGCAGCCTGCTGCTGCGGGGCGGGGCGGGCGGGGGCCGGCACGGGAGGGTCGGGAAGCTGCTGGCAAAGGCCGGACGCAGGGACAACCAGAGTGGAAGACGAAGTTGAGCGCCGTGCTCGGCCAGCCCCCTCCAGGGCTCCAGGGACCTCGCACCCGCCCCTTGGAAGGGCAGCCTGAGACGCACACCCCGCGAGGCGACACTACCAAAACCAGAAGTCGTGACTTTATTAAAACCAGGAGAACTGCGTGTGCGGCGCCTCTGGGCCAAGAGGGAGCAGCCTGTCCACTCCCTGTGGCCCGTCCGCGGCCCTGATCCTCCTCACAGGCCATCCAGCCCGGAGTCTGCGTCCCAGTGGCAGGAACCTCGGTCTCAGGCCGGCCAGCGGGTGAGAGGGAATCTGTGTGGCCAGCCAGAGGGAAAGAGGCGCCTTGGGGGCAGAAGCGGCTCCTCCGGTGAGCCTGCCGAGAGCAGGGCCCTGAGAGCAGGGCCCTGGGCGTCGTGGCGGGAGCAGCGCTCTGGGGAAGCGGCAGGAAGCACCAGATGTGGACGCGCCAGTGGCCCACCAAGCCCGCCGCCATGCAGAGGGACGGGGAAGGTGGGGCCAGGAAGACCCCGCTGCCCAGGGCTCGTGGCAGCCATGTGAGCTGGGCGCAGGGCGTGAGGGGCCCTCGAGGACCTCACGAGGCCGTGAGCACCATGGGGCGGGGCGGCCGGGAGGGTGTAATCCACGGGCATCTCACGTCTGTCCTTGTCCTATGGGCTTGGCGGGCGAGTCCTGCTCCCTCTCCCCTAGGCCAAGGCACCAGGCTGGGCCTCAGGGCCAGGCTGGGCCAGGTCCTGGCCTGTGGGTTCGGGGGCGCTGCCGGCCGGGCTCCTGGGCTCCTGCGAGGGGACTGTGGCCCCTGTCTCCTCGGACGTGGCAGGTTCCGGGGGCTGCTCGGCGGCAGGTGGGGAAGACTTGGCCGGTTCTTCTCCAGTAGGCTGCGGGGACGGGGACAGGGGCACGTCCGAGTCCTTGGGAGGCTGCGGGCTGTCAGCAAGGGCTAGGGCCCAGGGAGGCTGAGGTAGGTCTTTCTACAAAAGAAGGGACAACAGTGAGGGGGCAGCAGGACACCCAACACCCACAGCCCCCAAGGGGGCAGAACAAGCCACTATCCCCAAAGGGCATGGACTCAGGCTTGGGGCAAGCAGGAAGGCGTCCCAGGGAGAGAGGCAGCCCCCAGCCACGCTGCTGAAGAGGGAAGTCCGAGGTCTCCTGAGGCCGGGAGCCGACATGGCCACATGGCCGGGAAGAAAGCTCAGACTCCAAAACCCCTCAGCACTCAGGGGCCTGGCCTGCCCCTCCTTCCTCTGGTCCCTGGCTTCTCCTGAACTTTCTAGAACTGACCCCTCACTCTTGTGGTTAAGGCAACACCCACCAGAAAAGAGACCCTGGCCTCAGTGGGCCCCACCTCGGCGCCTGCGAGCTCCAGCATGGCACAGGGCCTCTGCCCGCCCCACGCTCTCCCACGGGAGGGCCTGGCTTCACCCCAGGTGACCAGCACCGCTGAGAACGGGGCATTTCCCATGGAGGGCGCTTCATTCACGGGACCATTTATCCAGATGCCAGAGGGTCTGGCAGGCCCATTCCTGCCGCGGCTGCTCCCAGCGTCCGGGGCAGCGCACGCGGAGGGCGTGCCATCGTCCCTGTTAGGTTCACATTCCATGTCACGCAGGAAGGGCCCACTCCTTCCCTCCTGGGTTTTAAAAAAGCAAAAGCCACATGCCCCTGAGCCCCTTCCTGCGTCGGCGCATTTCACTGCCAGACACCCCAGCATGGGGACACGGTTCCCACACGTGAAGGTCAGGGCCACCCTCCTCCCGACGCAAGGCGCTGCATTTGCAATGGCAGGCGCAGGGGGCCTCATGTCCACGCAGGGCGTCACTGCGCTTGGGGAACAGCCTTAGGTGAGCAAACTCACACCGGACCGGCCGCGTGCACCCTCAGGGCACCCCGCACGGGAGCCGCACGCATTCAGCACCCAAAGCAAAACCTTCCAGGCATTGGGGACCCGACCATGGAACGCGCCAGGCGCAGGGCTTAAATACCAGCAGGTCTTACTCAACTTTAACCCTAGTTAGGGCTTATTCGTTATTTCTTGCAGACAGTCATAGCAAACTGGTATTCACCGAAAAGCCGGTGCCCGTCCAGAACGCGCCCAGCTCCCGGCGCCACAGCGCCACGGCGAAGCTCGTCACCAGTGTGCAGGGCACCAGGTAGAGCAGGGCGGGCTGGCCGCGCTGCATGAGGGCCAGGGCCATGAACGTCACCAGGAGGCCAATGCCGTAGGCTGGAGGGAGAGAAGGGTGTCACCTCGGCCAGCTGGGGCCACAGCCCTGAGCTGAGCGGGAGGAACCAACAGGGGAGGACAGAGGGGACGCGGGCTGGGAAAAGCGGGCAGTGGGGTCACACACATCCCCAGGCACATGGATCCTTCCAGCACTTCTGGGGACACATGCCTACTGCACCGCTGCCTCAGTAGGTGAGAGGGGTTGGGGGTCACAGAGGTGATGAAAGGGCAGCAGACAGGGCATGGTGTGCAGAAGGGGACAGGGAGGAGGCGGCTCTGGGGCAGCAGCCACAGTGGCAGGAAGAGTCCGGATCTCAGAAGAGGCCAGAGAAGGAGCCAGGAGCTGGGCCAAGGAGCTAGGTTTATGCACCTTTAGTCAGAAAAACGTTACCACAGAAACGCAGCTACGTCGCTAGAAAACCCAACCTTCAGCCACAGAAAAAGATGTCCTTGTTCTTGGTCACAGTAAAGGAAAGACCCAGGGAAGCATTTAGAGGAACAGGGACAGTGTCTGCAAGTTGCTCTCACAGGCCAGAAAGATGCTGCGACTTTTGTGTGCGCACAAGTCCACACACGTGCGCGTGGCCGGCGTCCCAGGACCCCTCGGGCACGGAACTCCACAGATGCCCAAGTCCCTGACACAAGTGGCCCAGGGTTTGCATGTGACCTGCGCACGTCCCGCCCTGTGCTGGGTCACCGCTGGGTTTCCTGCAAGAGCTAACGCGACGCCAGTGCTGTGTGAGCAGCTGCCACAGTGCCCGTTCAGAGTGATGACGAGAAAACAGATCTGTCTGCGCTCACTACGGGGACATTCAGACCCGTGTTTTTCTGCGTATTTTGATCCATGTTTGGTTGACGTGTGGATGCAGAGGGCAGAATGTATATAAGTCCCTGTGAAGTCAGTGAGACTCTAATATGTGAAATGTGAAGAAATGTTAACAGTCAATAAATCTGAGACCGGGACATACATACCTTCTTTGTACTAACCTTGCAAATGGCAATTTGAAATTATTTCAAAATAAAAAGCGACAAGAAAATAGATTTTCTACAACACTTTCTCCAGGGAAAAAGAGCCATCTCTAGTCACTATGCTTTACCTCATGGCTTTTTCTAATAATCCCATTTCTGATTAATTTAATTATATAAGGAACACTGCTATATTTTATTATTTTATAATTTTATTATTTTATTTCATTTATTTATTTACTTTATTGAGACAAGGTCTCTCTCTGTCACCAAGGCTGGAGTGCAGTGGCATCATCACAGCTCACTGCAGCCTCCAACTCCTGGCCTCAAGCAATCCTCCTGCCTCAGCCTCCCGAGTAGCTGGGACTATAGATACTCATCATAAAGCTCAACTAATTTAAAAAGAAATTTTTTTTTTTTTGAAACACAGTCTCACTCTGTTGCCCAGGCTAGAGTGAGTGCCGTGGCGTCAGCCTAGCTCACAGCAACCTCAAACTCCTGGGTTCAAGCAATCCTCCTGCCTCAGCCTCCCGAGTAGCTAGGACTACAGGCATGCGCCACCATGCCCGGCTAATTTTTTCTATATATATTAGTTGGCCAATTAATTGCTTTCTATTTATAGTAGAGACAGAGTCTCACTCTTGCTCAGGCTGGTTTCGAACTCCTGACCTCGAGCCATCTGCCCGCCTCGGCCTCCCAGAGTGCTAGGATTACAGGTGTGAGCCACCGCGCCCAGCCAATTTTTAAAATTTTTTACAGAAACAGGGTCTCGCTATGTTTCCCAGGCTGGTCTCAAACTCTTGGCCTTGAGTGATCTTGCCACCTCGGCCTCCAAAAGTACCGGGATCAGAGGTGTGAGTCACCGCACCACCCTATTTATCAATTTTAAACTATCCGTACCTTCACAGAGAAAAGAATGTGTCTCCTATAAAGACCTAAATGCTTGCGATGAAAAGACTCATAGGAACTATTATGACAAGTTGTGGTTCAGCAGAGAGGAAAATCTCTGCAGTTGCATTTTTAAGGATAAAGACTGTAAAACCTCGAGGAAGGATCGCGGTCTGTGCGACAGGCAGAGAAGACCGGGGGACATAGTGCCACTGCAGTGCCGGGGAACGGGCGCAGACTGAGGGTGGAGGCGCAGCGGAAGGAGGGGTCCAGCATGTGCTCCGCGGCCTGGCTCTCCTGCAGCATACGTGTGCACCGCGCAGGAGAAAGCATGTGTGTGCAAGAGCCCCTGGGCGGAGCAAACCGCTTTGGAAATGTTACAGACAACCTGGCCCCCACAGAAACAGCTCTTCTGTGTCAATGGTTTGGTTAACAAAATAAGCGGAAGCCGAGGCAAAGAAGTGGAGACAAGAAAAAACATCAGGAAAAAACCAGAAGAGAACAGAAGCCGTGGAAAGTGAGCAAAAGGGTGGTGATGCCGGCACAAGGCCGCGCCACTGGGAAGTCCAGCTTCTGGAGCGGCTAGGGCTAGGGGCAGGGGCGGGGGCAGGGCTAGGCTGAGGGTTAGGGTTAGAGGTAGGAGGGAGGCTGAGTACGGGGTGTGGGGGTTGCAGCTCACAGCCCTCATCATGGCCTGGGCCCCAAGGCCATGTGTGGGTTACATACCGATAGTGCAGGCCACGAAGTACACCCGGGAGGACTGCACCTGGATATCGAACCTGTGACAGTAAGCCACAAGCAGCCCTGGGGAGAGGAGGGCAGAGACTTACCCAGTTGCCAAAGGGCATCCGGTCTGCCCCAGAACCTTGGGGCAGGCATTTCTCTGGGAAGAACTAGGCTGCCTCTGAACGCCTGCTGGGCACACGGCCATCACTGTCATTTCACAGGAGGCCACACCACTAGCTTTGGTAGAACTGGGATAGTTCTACCACCGGATACTCTGTAGGTGAACTGAGACAGTGAGCGAGCATGAACCCCACAGGGACCCTGGGGGACAGGCAAGGACACACTCAGCCTTCTGCAGCAGGCAGTCCCCAACAAGGCAACACAGCTGTGACTAGGATTGCCAATGAGCTCCCTAGGCCACCCAGATCCTGAGGAACCCACCAGGGAGGGACCCCCTACCGAGGCACCAGCCCTGATGCCCACCCCTGCCAAATTGGAGTCCTGGGCTCACCTCTGCCCAGGCTGGTCACTCCCAAGGCTGACCTGGGTGGCCCAGGGGCCGGGCTTGGGCTCAGTAGGCCCTGCCCCACAGGAAGGCTGGCTCAGTGCCTGCTGGGGCCTGTCTGGAGCATGGACCCCCGTGCCCCACCAGCCTCGATACCTGGCACCAAAATGTCTCCGAAGCCCAGCAGGGAGAAGGGCCGGTCACACAGGGCCAGAGGTGAGGAGTTCAGTCTGGGCACCTTCAGGACCATGGGCAGCTGCAGAGAAGGAAGGAGACGCCTCCTCCAAGACCTGCCACGCCAGGGAACTCCCCAACCCACATGGCAGGAGGACATACCTTCTCGTGGGTGGCTGAGTCCGAGGGCCCGGTGGCCACCTCAACCATGATGCTGTTCCCGCTCTGCACAAGACAGGTGTCAAGGTGGGGTGGGGCTCCGGGTCATCGCAGAGCCCCCGCCCTGGCGGTGACACAGCGGTGCCTTCTGGGTGGGGCAGGGAAGGGGGAGGGGGCAGGGCAGGGCCACAGGGCACCTACCTTGGTCAGGAAGGGCGTGATGAACACGAAGAAGATGTCGTAGAGGAAGAGCACCAGAAGCAGCAGCGTGCAGGCCTGGGGAAGCCACAGCCTGAGAGGGGCAGCGCCCGCCCAGAACACGCCCCTGCTGGGGACACACCCCCACCCAGGACACACCCCAATGCACCACCTGGGACATGCCCCAAAGGCCCAGCCCAGGACATGCCCCTGCCATCCCCTCATTTTCCTGAGTCTTTTACAGGAAAGTCTGAGCCAAGCAAGTTCAGTCCCCGTGGTAATAAGAGGGAAAGTGGTTTGGAAGCAACTTCAGGTCAAGGTTCAAGGACAACCGAAGTGAAGGGGGGCGTCTCCATCCGGTGAGCACCCCTAACGTCTCTGTTTCTATTCCCTAAAACTCAAAGGAAGCCCTCTCCCGGACAGCAGGGCTGAGCGGCCCCTGGAGGCCAAGCTGCTTCCTGTCACTCAGTCCAGTGAGAAATTAACCCGGGTGCCATCACTGTACCCACACCCTGCAGCCCGGACCCCACTGCTCACCTTGAACGTGGGAAGCCGGATGGTTTTCAGCGTGTAGAGGCAGAAGGCGATGCCCAGGGCGTCCTGCAGAATCCAGGCCCACCTAGAAGGCAACGCCATGTCACTGCCGGGCAGGGGCTCCTCGATGACCAAAGACTCTGCACCCCGGCCTCATCCTCCACCAACCAGCCACAACCCTCAGGGTCCCTCGCTCCTCGGCCACCTCAGCCACTAACTGTCCAAGCCACCATCCCACCTGCCCAGAGCAGGACACCGAGGAAGGCAGGGAGGAGCCCCTTGTCACAGAGGGACAGAGCCGGGCTGCTGACGCCCCACACCGAGGGGCAGACACACAGGGCTGGGGACAGCAGGTCTTCACAGATCACAGAGCGCAGGCAGGGCGGGCATCAGGTGCGTGTGCTGGGGGGACTGGGCTCTGTCCCAGCTACTCGTTAGAGTGAAACCTACACCCACCGTCACACGGAATCTCTGGGTAGGCCACTGGGTGCCCAGGGGACAAAACACAAAAATGCTTCCTTAAGAGGCCACGCACGGCCCCCACCATCACACTCTCTCCTCACCCCCTTCCCACCAGCCCGGCCCCCTGGATTCGGGGCCTGCCTGCCACTCGCTGGGCAAGTCACGTCTGGGGTTGCTCAGAGCCTCCAAGCATCAGATGCTTCATTTGAAAGTGAGATAAAAATATCTCCTGGGCAGCGCAGCTGTCGAGAACAAAGAGGCTTCCGAAGCCGGTTTCGGAGGGCCACGCTGCACGCGCCCAGACGCGGCGGGAAACCTTGGCCTGTTCTAATTCCACACAATACAGAGAGTTTCCTGGCTCCGATTTAACTGAAAAAGTTCGTTTTCTCTTTGTGTACAAAGGACTCAAAATATTTTCACGTTTTCCTTCTGCCAGTCAAATCTGTTGTGGCTCCGATCAGCGCTGAAGCCAAGAGCATTTGGCTGCCTCGGGAAAGGCTCAGAGGAAGCGCCAGATGGTGTCACCAACAGCGGGGGAGCTGGGCAGGGACAGGTGGCTCTGTCCTCGGCCACGGCGCCAGGCGTGCTGCCTCACCGGGGAGGCCAGCCGGAGGCACCCACAAGCCGGTGACACGTGGCGAGTTAGTGCTGGGGATGGCGCCCGCCCCTCTCCTGCCACTGCTTGGAGGCCATGGCAGGCAGGACAGGAGGATCAGGTGTCGGCGGAGCCTGGGCCCTGGGGCCTGCAGCGAGGACAGTGCTCTGGGCAATGTCCCCCAGCCCTGCCCAGGTGTGTGGAGGGCCGGGCACCGGGCCAGGGGAGTCGAGGCCTCTCCCACCCAGATCCAATCAGGTCGCATGGCACCCAGACAAGCCCAGTGAAACTGGACGCGGCAGCAGGCAGGGCCTTTCATCCTGCTCCAGGCTGCCCTGAGTGGCCTCCAGGGAGGGGGAGCGGGGGCCTTCCAGAGCATCTGAGGACAGGCATGGGAGGGGGTGGTGGCCCGCAGCCCAGTAGGGGCCGGGGAGGGGATGGCACTCACTGGTCCTCATTGCGGAAGATGCCCCACACCATGCTGACGGCCATACAGAAGAGCACCAGGAGCAGCATGCGGGCCTGAGGGCGCTTGTGGAAGTAGGGCAGGCTATTGTTGGGCACCCTGGCGGGGACAGGGAGGTCAGAGAGCCGACCCCCACCACCACCAAGAAGCCCACCACCCCCACCCCGCTGCCGCTCTGCTGAGGCCCCCAGAGCTGCCCCATGACCCAGCCCTGCCCTCCCCTCCTTGGACTCATCGCCCCCGGGTCACGACAGAGCCTGGCACGGGGCAGGCACGGGGATCTTGGGCTGCTTGCAGAGCCCCCATCCTCCCAGGTCTCCCCCAGAGGCCCTGCCTGCTCTGTTCTACCCGCTGTTCCGGGACAAGCCCAGCTCCCCAGATACTAACCCAGCCCTAACCAGAGACCCTCCGGCAGCCCCCCATGTACCCCGCAAGAGCCAGACCAGCTCCAGGGCTGCAGACAGCTGGGGGGCCCTGCGAAGGGCTGACCCAGAGACCCCCTCGGAGCCCACAGAGGCCCGAGTCAGCCCAGGACACCCCATGCCCCTCATCCTCTTCCACACTTGGCCCCTGTGGGGGTGGGTGGGGTCTGTTCATAGCTTCACCAGACAGCGTGTCAGGAGGGGAGGGGACCTGAGACAGGAGCCAGAAGCTGCTGGAACCAGGAGAGGCCCAGTGCAGGAGGGTGGGGTGGGGACAGGCTCACCTGCACTTGCAGAACGGCAGCCTCCGCACAAAGGGCGCCAGGCAGCTGTACAGGCCCGTGGCGGACGCCAGGCAGAAGATCCCGATGACGACGTAGACTGTGGGGATGTGGCCATCAGGCGGGAGTCCCCCAGCCGCCACCCCCCACCCCCCACCCCCCGCCGGAGGCCGGCCGCACCGAGGTGGTCGTAGAAGTAGTAGAGCAGCACCAGCATGGAGCAGCACATGACCACGAACACGCAGGTCATGACCGGCGTCACGTCCACCACCTCGTCCTCCTGCTTCTCCAGCCCGTCGTCCCGCTTGTGCTTCATGTACCTTCTTGGGAGACATAAAGGGATCACAGGGCACCTGGACAGACACAATCCTGGGGCACAGGCAGAAACCCAGGACCAGGCAGGGACGTGGAGCCACTGCCTCCAAACGTGCCCAGGGTGGAGGAAGAGACCACACTGCTGAGGACCAACGTCCAGGGGACGGATCCCCAGGCAGCCATGTGGCCAGGCCAGAGGCTGGTGTGACCCACGTGTCCTGCAGAAGTGACCCCAGATACAGGTGGCTCGTCAGAACGAGGGGGCTGGCAGGAGCCACTGCCCCACTGCCACGCGCCACACTGGCCACATCGCTCAACTCCCCGTGTCCCTGGCATCTACCTCAACGAGGGCATCCAAAGCCAGGTCCTGCTCCAAGGACCTCACAAGGACTAAGATGGCAGCTCAAAGTCCTCTGGGGAAGGGCTGCAGGGAGGGGAGCCCCGACCCACCCAAGGGCCAAAGCTTCAGTGACTGTTTCCGACAGGAAGAGAGAGGAACGTTCTGCTCCCCAGCCCTACCCCACCCACACTGAGGGCGACACAGCCCTTTTGCCAGCATCAGAGCCGCCACCTGTCACGCATGCAGGCAGAGCATGTGGACTCACTTCTTCACGTCCCGGCTCCCGGCCCAGTGGCCCCCGATGGCAACAGTGCCCACGGCCATGATGAAGATGACCACCATGTTGTAGTCCATCACCGGCTCGTTGGGGGCGTACAGCGCCACCCGCACCGCACGGCCAAAACGCTGCCTCGGAGAATACGCCAGAGCTGAGTGTGGCGGCTGGGGACCCCACCCTGCAGGGGCCATGCCCTCACCTCCCGCTCCTGACTGCACTGACTTGGGCAAGGACCCCCGGCAGCCATCCCGAGCCCCCTGCCCACCCTGCCCTGGAGCCCCCGGCCTGAGCGGGCGGCCGAGCCTACCCTGAAGATGTCCAGCATGTCTTTGTAGCTGAGCAGGGCCACGGGAATGCCAATCTCGTCATACTGCGTCTTGTTGCCACCCGGGGGGACCTGAACCAAGGACAGAGGGACCATCACCCCAAGAGCAATGGGGGAGGCCAAACTGTTCACAGCAGTGAATGGGCTCCCAGCCCATCCCAGCTGCCTCCTCTCCAGGGACCCTCGCTTGGAGCTCAGGTGCAGGCAGGGTGAGCCCACACGTCCCACCATTGCACCCAACAGCCTCCAGCAGGACTGCGCGGCAGTGAGATCCGAGGGCACTGAGACCCGTCCCCACTTAATCCAAGGCCGTCAGGCTTAAAAAAGGCCACCAGCCCCTCCCCCAGGCATGTGGCTCACTGGCTGCACAGACACGTCCTGTGAGGCTTGCCCCACAGAGGACCTGTGGGTCCGAGACGTGGCCCAGCCTCACTACCACCCAGTGCCCACCAAGCCAGTCTGAGTCCGGCGCTACTAGGGGCTTACACTGCTCTGTCCAGGCCCGTGCTGCTGTAAGCCCCACCCCACGCCAGGCCCCTGGGAAGGAGCCGGGCCAGCGCAGCCACAGGCAGGACTGCAAGGGAATCCCCAAGCCTGCCCCTTCCCACCCCAAAACTGCACTGGCCCAGCCCTGGCTGCTGCCGCCCTGACAGGGTCCAGCTGCAGCCACAGCCCTGCTGTGCAGAAAGGAAACTGAGGCTGGGCTTTGGGCCACTTGGCAGAGACCACAGCCGTGAGCCCGTGAGCCCACTGCCAGGCCTGGGCTGGGCCAGTCCACAGGCTGGAACGCCGGGATGCCGGGGGAGAAGCCGGCTTGGGGGCCATGCCACCCACTCCTCAGAGTCACCCCATGCCCATGTTGAGGCTGCTGGAGGGTGGGGTCTCCAGCCGCCCCCAGGACTGTTCTAGACAGGCTCCTGCAAGACCAGTGTGCAGGTCCATGGCCCCAGCTGCGACACCAGCCGTGAACACTGGCCCTGCCACCAGCACCCCCGACTCCCCCAGCACCCCCACCACTGGCTCGTGGGCTCCTCCACACAGAGGGCCTACCACAGTGAGAAGCCCCTGGGCCCTGGCAAGGCGGGTGGGGACCAAGGCGCGCTGGCCCAGTCCCCCGGTTGCGGGGGGTACCGTACCAGCTTCTCCTTGCTGACAACCAGCAGCCCGCGCGCCCCGCTGCCCTGCGCCAGCCTCACTTTCTCGTAGAAGGTGCAGTTGCCACGAGCCACCATCGGGATCTGGTTGATGAAGCCGTGGGCGGGGAGGTCGGCGGGAGAGCAGAGCATGGAGGCTGTCCAGTTGCGCAGCTGCAGGAGAGACTGGGGGGGACACCACTGCTAGAAGAGTTGGAAGGCTCCCTAGAACCACGCTATCAGGGACAACTGCCCGGACCACTCGCCAGCCACCCACAATTCCCTGACACCCGGACTTGAGCTCCCCACGTGGTCTCAGCCCACGTGTGACGACAGACAGTGGGGCCGGGCAGGGCTGCCTTGAGCTGTCTGCCACCAGCAGCCCCAGCGGCTGGACAGCACTGGGCTCATCTGGAGAGGGCTCGGGCAAGATCTGCAGGGCCACTGGGGGCGCTAGTGGCCCAAGGCACAGTATCGCTGAGAAAGACTTGGCTCTCCCTGTCTGCCAAGCAGTCCTTAAGCAGGAAGCTCCAGCAGCCCAGGGAGAAGTCCCCACATGTCTGCCCACGCGGAGGCTGAGACACCCCAGGTCCAGCAGACCCCGTGGGACAGAGCTGAGCTACAGCCTGCGTCTGCCATCCCAAGCCTGGGGCCCCACGCTCTGGGCCTACAACCTGCTGCACCCCAGAACCTGGCCAGAAAGCCAGTCGCTGCCCATCCCGCTGCCAGCTGGGGAGCAGGGCCAGCGCCTCTCGAGCCCCAGGGTTGGGGAGGCACAGCTGGGCTTGGCACATGTCTGTCCCCCTGCTGGCTCCTCTGTCAGTGCCCATGTAACATGTACTGATGGAAGGCCCGTGTCCAGCCACAAGGTCTTAACCAGACTAGAGCTTCCTCCAAACATCTATGCTTGGTTCAGGGTCCCCAACTGTGGTGGTGTCACCATTCATCCAGCAAGACCAAGGAGGTCCCCACCTTGTGCTGAGGAGGAGTCCCCAAGTGGAGAAAGCAAGGCTCCTGCCCAGGAGAAGTGAGCACATGCACACACACACAAGGCACCTATGTGTACACACACATGCTCTCACACACAGCACACATAACAAGCACACACGTATACATGCATGCACACTCTTAAAGGCACACACGCACACAAAAGACACCTTTGCATATATACACTCACAGCACACATGAACAAGCACAAACACGTAGTACACATGCATGCACACAGGCACACACAGGTGCTCACATACACACATGCACTCAGATGTAAGTGAGCACATAGGCACACAAACACACCCCCACATACACGTAGACATACACACGTGCACACAGGCGCTCAAATCAGCTCACATGCACACACGCTGCGAAGGGCAGAGAGAAAGTGGGGAGGCGGCGGCGTGGAGGACACCCCTCTCGGGACCACCGGAGGGCAGGGGAGGCACAGGCAGAGGGCAGGGGAGGCACAGGCAGAGGGCAGGGGAGGCACAGGCAGAGGGAGCTGCGGCCTCTCAGGTGAGATGTCGATAGATCGACGGCATCAACCAGCCGCCTGCAGACGCTCCCCTGCCAGAGCTTACCCGGGGCCTCTGGCTTGAGGAGTGACAGCCATACCACCAAGGGATGTGGGCTCGTCCCCAGCGCCCCGCCTGCCCTCAGTGATTCCTCACAGGACTCCTTGGTCTTTCCCCGTGCGCTACAAGGACCCTGGCACAGAGCAGCACGTGCCTGAGCTCAGATGTCCCTCTGGACAGCTTTCGTTTACAACCAAGAAAACTGAGGCTGGGACTCATCTCAGGATGCCCCAGACCCCAGCAGTCCTGGCAGCAAGTGGCTGCCCCTTGCGTCTGACCAGACGGCACCATTTCCTAACTCAGGTCTCCCTGGCAGCTCCCAGCAAAACGGGTCCCCAGAGAGCCCCAAAGAGAGCCCGGAGCCCGGTGGGCACTCACCGCCTTGCCGAGGTCGTGAGGCAGGTGGGCCCACTGTGGGTTGTAGAGGATGCAGTAGTCTTTGCCTTTGGGGCCCCCAACCTCAGAGATCACGTGTACCATGCCGTACTTGTAGGCCACCTGCAGTGACAAGGCGGAGGTCAGAGGAGCTGGGGAGACACAAGGGACTGGATGGCCCACGAGAAACAGGGCCCAGGTGGCCACGCCCACAAGGTGGTTTGGGATGTTTCCCTCCCTTCTATGGGACAGGCAAGGTATGACCGCACATGGTCACGTGGCAAGAACACAGAAGAGCGTGCCTTCCCCAGGGAGACCCGGGCTTGTGACCACAGGGGTATCAGGTCACTTCTCTGTGGCTCCTAAGTTTCCACATCAATAAACTGGGATTGCACCACCGCAGCCCGGGAAGAACCCTCAGAGGGAGGAACAAAGTAAGCCAGCAGATCCATCCCCAGGCCCTGGGCAGTCACCTGTAGCCAGGGGACAATGGCCTCCACCACAGGGCAAGGCCAGAGGCCTGGATGAGCTTCCAGCAGGTATGTTTGGAGATGGTCTTTGACCCACAGCCTGCGTGAAAACTGGCTGTTGATGTCCCAGGGGCCACTGGGGCCCCAGTCACATGACTAGTCCATCAGGACACTGGCCAGGGGGATCCCCAGGTCAGCACCCCTCCACTCCCCCCAAAAGCACAGCAGTTAGCAGACAGCTGAAGGGGCCACAGGGCACCCAGGTCCTAAGTGGCTGGCCGGGAGCTGCACCTCCTCCAGGCAGGCTGAGGTCATGCTGATACCAGCAGGACAGACAGCTGTCCCCACTCCTGCTCCCCACAAGACCCCAGCAGGCAGAGTCCAGCTCCCAGATGGGACAGGGCAGGCAGGGCTGGCCCGCCCACCACATGGACCTGCCTCTTGGCTTACGTTTTGAAGGAGTGGGGAGAAGCCACCATCTCAGGAATGCCTGTCACCAGGAGGACTCACAGGGTGGGGGCCCAGGTCTTGGTGGCTTTACCATACCACGCACCCCAGGCCCGCAGAGGGAGAGCCCCTCAGGAGAGCCCAGCCCAGTCCCCGACACCCATCTGCACACTCTGGCCTCCTATGGCCCCCTCGGAATCTCCTTGCCCCTCCCCAGGCTGTGAACTTCCTGGGGCAGAGAGAGAACCATGTCCCCTGGCGTCCCTGGGGATCTGCCACAGAAGCAGTCAAGGGGCCGGGCGAGGTGGCTCACGCCTGTAATCCTAGCACTCTGGGAGGCCGAGGCGGGCGGATTGCTCAAGGTCAGGAGTTCAAAACCAGCCTGAGCGAGACCCCGTCTCTACTATAAAAAAATAGAAAGAGGCCAGGCGCTGTGGCTCATGCCTGTAATCCTAGCTCTTGGGAGGCCGAGGCGGGCGGATTGCTCAAGGTCAGGAGTTCAAAACCAGCCTGAGCAAGAGCGAGACCCCGTCTCTACTATAAATAGAAAGAAATTAATTGGCCAACTGATATATATATAAAAAATTAGCTGGGCATGGTGGCGCATGCCTGTAGTCCCAGCTACTCGGGAGGCTGAGGCAGGAGGATCGCTCGAGCCCAGGAGTTTGAGGTTGCTGTGAGCTAGGCTGACGCCACGGCACTCACTCTAGCCTGGACAACAAAGTGAGACTCTGTCTCAAAAAAAAAAAAAAAAGAAAAAGAAATTAATTGGCCAACTAATATATATACATACATATATATATATAAAATTAGCCGGGCATGGTGGCGCATGCCTGTAATCCCAGCTACTCGGGAGGCTGAGGCAGGAGGATCGCTTGAGCCCAGGAGTTTGAGATTGCTGTGAGCTAGGCTGACGCCACAGCACTCACTCTAGCCTGGGCAACAAAGCAAGACTCTGTCTCAAAAAAAAAAAGAAGCAGTCAAGGAAACAAACCAGCTGCCACCCTGACAATGAGCACCATGCAGATGGACGCTGACCTGCACCTAGTGGTGAGGCCAGCATTTTGGAGTCCACACCAAGACAGCCCAGCCCCCACCATGGCTGTGGCTTTGCCAAGTCAGGGGCTGGGGAGGGGAGCTCTGACGTGGCTCAGGGCCTGGTGAGAGCCCACAGCACCCAGTCCCCACAGCCTGGGGCTAAGACCCCACACCCACCACTTGGCACCACAAGCCCAGGCGCTAGTCCACCCAACCAGCAGCCAAGGCCGGTGAGTCCCCAGCCCTGTGCTCCCATCACTGAGCACCAGCTCTGGGGCTCTGCTGGCTGTCTCATCTTGAGTGAGGACCAGGCCCCCGGCCCCGCAGTCTAATGAGACCACAACTGTGCCCTCCTGCCCGGGAGCTGGGGAAAGCAGGTTCACACAGGGCTCCGAGCAGGAGCCAGGTGAGTGGAGCCCAAGCCACCAGAGCTCACAGGAGGCAAGGGCAGAAGAGTGGTCTGAGGTAGACCAGGGTCTCAGAGTACACGGCTGAAGCAGTTTCCTTCTCCCACCTGCCCCTACCCCAGCCCACCTCCCAACCAGAGGCAGAGCTCAGAGCCCCTTCTCCAAGGCTCTCCCCACCAGACAGCCTACTCCTGAGGGCACCCCTCAGTCTGGCCCTGGTGCCAGGCCCAGAGCGTGCCCCTTTCAACATGGCCAACCAGCGTTCAGAGCCCCCTGGCGCCTGCTCCAGGAGGGAGTTTATGGGCCGAGGCAAGGGCCGGGAATCTACAGTCCAGAGACCAAACCCGGCCCACCTTCTCCGTTTGTAAATAAAGTTTTATTAGTACATTCCTGAGCAGAGGGTCTCCAGCCCTGAAGCAACAACAGAAGAGTTGAGTAACTGTGACAGAGACCACGTGGCCTGCAAAGCGCAAGACATTTACTGCCTGGTCCTTTCTGGAAAACACTTGCCAACCCCTGTTCCACGGGATCAGGGTTTTTGGTGAAGTGTCTTTTGTATAAAGTGGGAATTGACACAACTGCTTCTCTGTAAAAAGGGCCTTCAAAAACACAAAAGCACATTCACAGATCTTCCTTCCCACAATTTGCAAAACTGGTTTTCCCTCAAAAATACACCTGCCCATGCCTTTACCCGCCTGCCCATGCCTTTACCCGAGGCCAGAGAACCTCGCTCTGCATACAATTTCCTCACCTGCTGAGTCAAAGGAACCCGGACAGGTTCTTCCAAAAGAAAGGGTTCTAATCTTTTTCACCCAAAAGTTGGAAAAAAAAAAAAGAAAAAAAGAAAAAGAAAGGGTTCTAAGAGGGCTCTGAGTTCTAGCAGGGCCTGCTGGCACCTGGAGGAGCACTGAGGACAGGCCAGAGCGCAGGTAGCCACCTCGGAACCGTCCACGGTTACAGACCAGATGCTTCTCGGTTACAAAGCAGATTTAGAAACATCCAGGGAGACTACGACACTTCAGAACTACCACAAACTGTGTCGGACATCTCTGGAGTTTTAAAACAAACAAGGGAGTCCAGGCTGGGAAGCAGTCTTCTTTCTAAGAAGGTGACAGATTAGGTGCCCAGGAAGCTTGGGAAGAGGTGAGGCTGGGGAAGGGGCAGTGACCTTAGCTCTGATCTGCCAAGTGACAGGGGCCTGTACCAATGGTAGTAATTGGAGGAGGGGGGTGTCCCTAGGGAGGTAAGACCCCTTGCCAGTGGCCACAAAAGAGTAGCAAGTGAATTTAGGATTGTTGCCAAGCAGCCTCCTGCCCAAAGAGCCGATCCTACACTTGGGGGCAGGGACTCAAATTTCCACCTCCACGAACCACACCCCCAGGGGACGCAGCATCTCAGAGTGTGTTTACCGCTGCTGTTCCAGGAAGGGCAGGCGCACCCGCGCTCCGTAATCCCTCAGACACATCCTGGGCTCCCTTCGCCTAGGATAAAGTCCAAGCTCCCCGGTGCCGGGAACCATCCACCACCCGCTTAGACTTGCCCGGCCCACCCCAGCCTCCAGCCTTGGAGGCCACAGGCTCTGCCATGTCCTTTATCCTCAGCCTGGAGCCACTCCCGATGGCCTATGCCTCTGCCCTCAAGCTCTGAGGGGGAAACCCCAGCCTCCCTTCAAGGCCCGCCTGAGGGGCCTCCTTTGCCATGACAGCTTTCTTGGGGGTAAACTCCCCCTTCAAGCATCATTCCACCCTACACGCCAGCCGCAGCCACCCCACACAGATGGCCAGCTCTCACACCTCCCAGCCCCGGCTCCGGCTGCTCCCTTTGTCTCCAACACCCTCCTCTCCCGCCTGTCCTGCCAAACTTCTTCCCACCCTTCAGAAAACCCCTCGGTCCCACTGCTTCTGAAAATCATTTCCAGGCAAACTGAGCCCCCTCCACAGTGTTCTCATACATCTTCTTCCATCTCTTGGTTTCCTCTCCTTCAAAATGTCTGGAGAGCTCAAAGTCCCTGTCCTCAGACTGCTCACAGATGGTGAGTCAACAGAGAGGTTCACATACCAATGAGGGCAGTGCAGGGGGCCTGTCAGAGGGGCTGGTGAGGGAGAGGGACAGCCCGGCACAGGGCATTCCAGGGTAACAGAAAAGCCCATAGAGTGAAGAGCCTGCAATGAACTATATATGTCTCAGGCGGGCAGCTTCCCGGCGGGCAGCTTCCCAAGCAGCCACTTCACAACCGGATGGCTCTCACCTGACAAGCTCTACATGCCTTGAAAGGGGTCAGCCCTGCTGTGTTGAGAACGGAGTAGGGATGTCGGGGACAAAAGCAGCCACAGACAGAGGGGCTGGAGAGCCCTTGTAGGAGTCAGAACTCTAAGGAGGAGTCAAGTGCCACATTAGTAGGGCTGCTAGGGGCACAATTCCCTGAGCCAAGGAACCCAGGAAAGAGGGAGGACTTGTAAATAAAAGATGCACTTATGCCTGCATATCTCATAGTTATCTCACGGACTGTCCCCCACTAGAACCCGACAACCTTGATGTTAAAGGACACACAGTTGACACAGCGCACACTGGTCCTCGACCTCCACACCCTGCGCATCACCTCCTGAATCCACTCCACACTCTTCTGCGGATGGACAACTGACGCTCAAAGCAAGGATCTCCCTCGCCCAAGGTCACGGAGTAAAAGACGGGGCGGGGATCCGACTGTGTTCCCAGGCTGGGCTCTCGGCTGCTCGCTGCGGGGGACGCGCGGGATGTCTCCGGGGCTCTTACCGCAACCCCCAGGACGGAAGCTCGCCAGCCAGCTCCGTGCCATTCCCTCTAAGGGGAAAGGGAGGTTCGGAGGGGAGTGGGCAGCCACCCACCCAAAGCCACAGAGCCCGAGAGGGGCGTCCCCGGCGGCAGCTGGAGATCCCGAAACCGACAACCAGAACCCAGGGAGGGAAGGGGCCACAAACTTCAGACTCGGTCCGGGAGGAGTGGCGCTGCAGCGGGGGAGGGCTTCCGAGACGAGGAAGGGACAAGAGCCCGGGACCGGAGCGCAAGGTCACTGCCGGGCCCCAGTCGCGAGAGGACCGCGGATCCCCGATGCTGGCCCCCCTGAGCCGGGCCGGGCGGGGTCCTGCACGGGGTCAGGGGGCCGAGGACCCGGGGAGACTCAGCCTGCGGGCCAGCGCGGCCGGTGCGGCGCTCACCTGGGCCGCGAGAAGCAGAAAGGCCACCGAGAGCCGCGCCAGCGCCACCGCCGCCAGCGCCGCCATGTCCGCCGGTCCCCGCCGCAGCCGTCGGCAGATGTTTCCCAGCAACGCCCCGGGGCACCGCGCCCGGCGCATGCGCTGCGCGTGCGCATTGGTAACAGTCAAAGGACGCGGGGGTGGCGCCTGCGCAGAGTGGCGCGGCGCGGCAAGATGGCGGTGAGCGCGCGGCGGTGGGGCCGGTAGCCTGGCGGCTTGGGCCCGGGCCGCTGCTCCCCGCCTCACGCGCTCTGCTTTCCCCGCAGGACAAAGAGAAGAAAAAGAAGGAGAGCATCTTGGACCTGTCCAAGTACATCGACAAGACGATTCGCGTGAAGTTCCAGGGAGGCCGCGAAGGTGAGCTCCCTGCCGCCAGCGCTTTCTCTTAACAACTTGGAATAAATAACTGCGGCAGTAGAGACTACGGACACGGATGCCGAGGCGCTACTTTAAGTCGGGCTACCTCGTGCAGTCTTCCTTATAACACCGGAGATGGGAACTGGTAGCCCATTTTGCGGGTGGGAAAACTAAGGCATGGAGCAGGGAACAAACATAACCCACAGTCACAGTGGAGCAGCTGGGTTTGGGATTCACGGCTTTGCGTCCCATGAGGTCTTGTCTCTCCAGCTTTTCTACCTGGGAGCAACCCAAGCTCCTCAGTGATCTCCCTGCTTATGTTCCTTTTCCCGGTAAGCCAAGGTCTCTCCCCCTCTGCATTGTGGATATTTGGGGCTGGATCGTTCTCTGGGGTGGGGCCGTCCTGGGCACTGCAGGGTGCTGAGCAGCGTCCCTGACTTTCACCCACCCCATGCCAGGAGTGCCCCCAAGTTGTGACAACCCAAACTGTCGCTGGGGGCAGAAGTGCACCTGTTGGAAACCACAGCCCTATGAACCTGTTAGGAATCTCCTTGCTCCCTGCTGAAACCTTCCAGGGCTCCCCATTTTTCCAGGGTAAAGTCCAAACCTCCTAAACCTCTGAGTAGGGCATCAAGCTCTTGACTGCCACAGGCTACATAGGCACATGGTTCCCTTTGCCTGCCATGCTCTTGCCAGGTGACCTCCCAGAGTCACTTTTCTGTTCCGTTCCAGATACTTGCTCTGAGAAGCCTTCCTCACCCCTCCATCTCAGGTCGGGCTCCTCTTTGTCTTACTCTCCTTGTAGCACTTGTCACAGTTTGCAATTTCATAAACATGATGCCTAACTCTGCATCTGACTCTTCCATAGACTCTAGTGAGGAGAGTGAGCTTTCAGAGAGCAAGAACCAGGTTGGTGCTGCTTATTCACGTGGGCAGTGTGGTCTGAGAGTAATCACAGCAGCTGGACAGCCTGACCCTGGGGTTCTAGCTCTGGACAGCTCCGGTTAGAACCCCAGCTTTTCCGCTCTTGACTTTGGGCAAGTAGCTACTCCCTCTGAGCCTCTGTTTCCTCATTTGTCAAATGAGGTTGGTCCTCTACCTGCTTCACCAGGTGGTGGCGAGAGTTAAAGGGTTAAAGGCATGTAATGCAACTGAAGCAGTGCCTAGCACATAGTAAGCCCTTGATCAACATCTCACTTACTCAGCAGCCCCTTTGATCTTCGATTTCTTTTTCTCAAAAGATGGGGATCCAAAGCCCATCCTCCCTGAGATTCAGACAGTTGGGTGGCATCAAGAGTTGTTGATGGTCCAGGTACCTGGCATGAGAATTTGAATCTGAACAAATGTTCAATCTATGCCATGCCGGCTCCAGGACAGATGAATGAGATGCTACCCTTGCCTTTCAAGGTGCCTTCGTTTGTTTTCTACCCTGTGTAGCAAATTACCTCCAGTTTAGTGGCTCAAACAACACAGATCTCGCAGAACGTGTGGGTCAAGGTACCTCAAATTCAAGATCTCATGACGTCGTAATAGAGGGGTGTCTGTAGGGCCCATCATGTCACGCTCAGTGTCTTCCACGGCTCCTGGCTGTTGGCAGAACTCAGTTCCTTGCAGGTGTAGGACTGGGGTCCCCATTTTCTGGCTGGTGTTGGCTGGGACGCTCCCAGCTCCTGAGGGCTGCTTGCCCCCAGACGCTCCGCAGCAGGGCGGTTTGCTCCTGCAGTGGTGTAGGTTGAGCAAACGTGTCAGATTCAAATTATTCAAGCCAGAAGGAGAATCTCTTCTCTCAGAAAGTGTTCTATCCTTTAAGAGCCCACCTGGTTAGGTCCCTCCCTTTAGATTAGCTCAAAGCCAGGCTGGCACAGGCACCTTAACTCCAGCTACAAAGCTCCTTCATCTTTGTCACGTAACCTAAGCATGGGGGTGACATCACATCCAAGTCACAGGTCCCTTCCCGCACTCAGGGAAGAGGAGTATATGCCCAGCTCACCAGGGTGGAGGAACATTGCCTGCCTGCCTGGGGCTCACCTCCCCTCAGGGAGGGCAGACTCATGTCACTGCACACGTGGCTGGTGTCCAGCACCTAAATGCATTGTTGCACCCAACTCTTCCCACCATCCCATGAGACCATGACCTTCATTTTGCAAGGGAGGGACCCGAGCACAGAGAGAGGAAGCCACAGGGCCAGGGGCTCAAACGCAGGCAGCTGGATGGAAATCCGCAGGGCCAGGCAGGCTTTCTCTGGAAAGGGCCAGACGGTGAACATTTTCAGCTTTGCAACCCAGATGGTTTCTGTGACAACTGCTCAGCTCTGCCGTTGCAGCGGGAAAGCTGCCACAAACAATACCTAACCGGGTGAGCGTGGCCGTGCGCCAATAAAACTTTATTTACAAAATCTGACAGTGGAGCGGATTTGACTTGAGGGACATCGTTTACAGACCCCGCCACACACACCACAGCACGGAGCTGCCCTCGGTGTGGGCAGTACAGCCACAGATGGGCTCCTGCTCCCTGCCTTTTGGGAGACAGGCAGATGGAGTAATGACCCAGGGTACCATTTCTGTGGGGTGAGCCAGGAGGGGGACTAAAGGAGGAGTTGGGACGGCTGGGGGCAGATGGTGGCAGGAAGAGGCGTCAGTGAGCACAGAGGCGGGAACCGCCCCCCTCAGGGAGCTATGGCTGAGATGAACCTGCACAGGAGGCGCAGGGGGTCCAGGCAGAGACTGCGTGCGGTCCTGCTGGGCCACCCGGCTCACCCTTTCCCAGGACCGGTCACCAGACACTGCAGAACAAGAAGATGACAGGGATCAGGCACCGTGTTGTGCAACCAGCCCGTCTATCTAATTCTGGAACATTCCATCAGCCCAAAAGGAAATCCTATCCCATCAGCAGTCACTTGCCGTCCACCCCCAGCCCCTGGCAACCAGGATTCCACGTCCCATCTCTGTGGATCTGCCTGTTCTGGACATTTCATATAAACAGAGTCTCACACTGTGTGTCCTGCGTCTGGCATCTCTCACTGAGCACGATGTCCTCAAGGTCCCCCTCCACACTGTGGCCTGCGGCAGAGCCGGTCCCCTACCTTCTGTGGTGCTGCTCGCGATCTGAGAATGGTTTTTACAGTTTTTAAACAGTTGAGGAACAATCACAAGAAGCCTAGCTTATGAAGTGAAAATTACGTGAAATTCACATTCAGCACCCATAAATAAAGTTTCCCAGCAGCCACCAGGCCTGTGCATTTGCATGTTGTCAGCTGCTTCCACGCCAGGCAGAGCTGAGCGGTTGTGACCTGCCCCTTGCGGCCCGCAGTCTTAACGGATCTGCCATCGGTGCTGAGCAGAAGTGTTTGCGGACGTGCTGTGGCGGGGACGGCCTACATACAGGCAGCTGTCCTCAGGGCCCTCTATCTCCCTTCCCCTCCCTTCCTCCACCCTGGTGAGTTGGGCATATACTCCTCTCCCCTGAGTGCGGGAAGGGACCTGTGACTTGTGATGTCACCCCCATGCTTAGGTTATGTGACAGAGATGAAGGAGCTTTGTAGCTGGAGCTAAGGTGCCTGCGGCAGCCTGGCTTTGAGCTAATCTAAAGGGAGGGGCAATCCTGGGTGAGCCTGACCTAACCAGGTGGGCCCTTCCTTGACGTGGGCCCCCAGTGCATCATGCTGGGGCGGGCGCCTGTCCCCAGGGCAAATCTCACGCCTTCCTGTTTCTCTTCCCCACTGTGGTTTCTCCAAGCCAGTGGAATCCTGAAAGGGTTCGACCCGCTCCTCAACCTCGTGCTTGACGGGACCATCGAGTACATGCGAGGTGAGCTGGGCCTTTTTTTAAATGTCTTTCTCAAACCCACAACACCCCGAGTTGAGGGCAGGGATTAGACAGCTGACGGGCGAGTTTGGTCTCTGCCATCAACAGAGCTGGAAAGACCATCGTCGCCTCAGGGGCCTGAGAGAGGGGGAGTATTTTGCTGGTCATTGCCTGGTTCCCAGACACTGGTAGAGCTGCTCAGCACGCGCCTGCGTGGTTCGGAGAGCACGCGTCGGCAGTGAGACGCGAATGTGCTTTGAGCTCCCCTGTGTTCGCACAGGGTCCCGTTCCCCCTCCCTGGGGAGCCCTCCCACATGTCCCCTGCTCTCTCCTCCCCGTGAGGCCCCCAAGTCCCTGCTGGCCAGGCGGCCCCCAGCAGCCAGCAAGCCCCTGGCTTAGCCCAAAGGAGGCATGTGAGGGTCTCAGCCCTCGGGCCCAACAGCAGGACCAGACAAGATTCACTCTTGTGCAGAGACAAATAGCTCAACGCGCCACCAGGTGCCTCGGGAGTGGGGGCTGCACTTCCGCCCTTTCTGCGGAGCCTGTGTGATCTGTGGTTTCGGCCCCAGAACAGCCCGGTCACACAGGCGCTCAAACCATCCTCTCTCGGGTGAGGGAAGGGTGGGTCCAGTGGGGTTGTCACCCAGGAGACCCGATAGTGGCAGGGTCGGATCTCACACTGGATCTCTGATTTCCAAAGCTGGGCCTGGGTTCTCCCCTCACCCAACGCCACAGGACAGTAGGAATGAAGAGTTTTGATTTCCTGCAACCTGGAGCGTCCGGTCACTTCCCTGGGTGTCCTCTCGCCTCACCCAGCAACCAGGGGCCCAGGCTGCTCTGTCCCAGCTGCCCGGCCGATGGCTGGTCCCAGGCCCTGGGGTCCCAGTTAGCACAGAGAACAGGGTGACCGCCTCCTGTCCCGGCGTTTGCGGAGCAGCTGCAGCTGCTGTTTCTGGAGCCCCGTTGGGCCCCACGGTCTGTGGCCTGTCCTGAGAGAAGGGCCGCTTGTC